GGGGGGGGGAGGGAGGAGGCAGTGCCGGGGGGTGGGGGGGGGGGGGGGGCGTGAGTCACTTCCCTCCCTCTTGCCTGAGTCACCCCTACCTGACGCCTGGAGGGGGAATCCAGGCGTCCGAGGGAGGGACCTGGGGGGGAATTTCCCCTCCGCGGGGCAATATTTGCCCTGGGGAGGGAGTTATTTGCCCCGGGGAGGGAGTTATTTGCCCCAAAGGGGGTAATTACCTCAGTTACCCTTCTGGAAGCTAAGCAGGGTCGGAGGGGGTTTGCCCTTGGATGGGTTCCCTAAGCCTGCTCAGGGGGGTTATTTGCCCCAGGGGTGGGCAATTAGCCCAGTTACCCTCCTGGAAGCTAAGCAGGATCGGGGGCGTGTTTGCCCTTGGATGGGTTCCCTAAGCCTCATCAGGAGGATGTATTTGCCCCCAGGGAGCGGTTATTTGCCCCGGGGGGGTATTTGTCCCAGGCAGGTCAGTTCTTACCCCATTTTGTTGCCCCCCAGGTGCGGCGGCCGCCCCCCACAGAGGAGCCGAGCGCGGCGAAGCGGCTCCTGGTGCTGCTCTTGGCCGTGGTGAGTGCCCAGGTGTACAGCGCACCCGGGGATGTGACACCCGAGGTGGCTGCGACGACCGTGGTGACACCCGAGGCACCCATGGTGACACCTGAAACACCCACGATGCCTGCTGTGACACCCACAGGGAGAACGTGGACACCCAATGGGACACTGGTGGGGACACCAGCAGCACCCATGGGGACACCCGTGGGTGCCTCCTGCCCCCGTCTGCTGCTGTCACCCGCCCTGCGGCCCCACAGCTGCACAGCTGGAGACGCTGCCCGCTGAGGGGCACCCAGGACCCTCACCCTGATCTCAGGGTGGCACCCAAGACTGTCACCTCAGCCTCAGGGTGGCACCCAGCACCCTGCTGTGCCCACCACCGTAGCCTCAGGGCTGTGCCCAATGCGCTGGACTGGTAGCTGTGCCTATTGTAGTGGCCACAGGGTGGCACCATGCACCCATGGGTGCCCCTCACCTCGGCCTCGGGGTGGTACCCAGCACCCCAGGGACACTATGGGGCCCATCACCCTGGCCTTAGGGCTGTGGCAGCACCCAGCACCCCTGGGTGCCCCTCACCGTGCACTTTGAAGGGCATTCAGCACCCATGGGTACCCCTACCTCATCTTTGGGGCTGCCCATAGCACCCATGGGTGCCCCTCATCCAACCTCGGGGCTGCTCACCTCATCCCCCGCCGCCCCCACGGTATTTATTTATTGTATTCGTATTTATTTTGCGGTTATTTAATTGAGGTTTATTTAAGTTTATTTAATGGGGGGGGGGGATTTAACACGATTGGGGGGGATTTAATAATTGCTATTATT